TTGAGACCCAGAAATCAGTGTTCTTTTATACTGTCTTAAGGTCACTTACCATGGTATATGGCATTTGGTGACTACTGATCTAGTCTCATCTCTTAATTTTATTTGATTTTAAAATTGTATATATGTGTTTTTACTTTTTAAGACAGAGAATTATTAAGACAAAAACAAAAAAAGCCTCTTTGTCCCCTTAACCCAGTTGGCATAAAAAATTAGAAGTAATAAATGCTCATGTTGAGAAAATTCAAATGGCATAAAATCATGTTTTATGAATGAAGAATGAAAAGCAAAACCTCTTATTCCTAGTCCAGCTCCCGAAAAGGTAACCACTATTAACACTTTCTTGAGAGTACACTCAGAAAGTAATTTTCCTATATATATCCTCACCTATTTACATACTTAATTCTATAAAATCTGAACCAAAGGAATCATCCTATATACACTGTTCTACACTTTATTTTTATTTTTTCCACTTAAAACTTTTGGAGCTCACTACAGATCAGATTCCTCTTAAATCTACCACCAGAGGCTTTGCTTTCTGCTTCTATGGGTCTGATATTTTTAGCTTCCATATATAAGTGAGAACTGGAGGTATTTGTCTTTCTGTGCCTGGCTTATATCCTGCAGTATAATGTCCTCATGTTCATCTATGTTGTTGCAAATGGCACTAATTTCCTTCTTTTCTAAGGCTAAATAGTATTCCATTGAGTATATGCCACATTATCTCTATCCATTCATGGTTGATAGACACTTAGGTTTATTCCATAACTTGGCAATTGTGAATAAAGCTGAAATTAACATGGGAGCGCAGAAATCCCTTTGACATACTGATTTCAGATCCTTTGGTTATATGCCCAGAAGTGAGATTACTGAGATCATATAGTGACTCGATTTTCAGTTATTTGAGGAACCTCCATTCTGTTTTTCAAAGTAGCTGTATTAATTAAGTAAATTAATATTTGTAATGCATTTGGAACAATGATTGATGTGGAGTAAGCACTATATACTTGTTAAATGAATGAATGAATGGGTGAGTGAATAAATACATGAAAATTGCTGCACGGCATCCCATTATATAGATATACCCTTCTTTATTTTACTGTTAGTGGATGCTTGCTGTGTCTATTGCCTTAACAAATAATGCAGAAAGTAACGTCCTTGTATGTATTTCTTGGGTACTCTCCTTGGGGTATGGTGATCAATACCTTACTTAGGGTGGCAACAGTGGACATGGAGTCAAAGGCATTAAAAAGGAAAAGTTAGTGATTAGATAAGAATAGGAAGTAGGATTGCAATTAGGAATTTTGCTTGGAACCTAGAATCACAGAATTATCGATCTTACATTTGAAAGGAACTGCAGGAGATAATTCCAGCCTTGCGCCCTCTGGGCAGGGAATGTATTACATCAATGGTTCCCAAGCTGTGCACTGAAGTGTCCTGGGAGCCCCAGTGAACTCACTAGAAGGAGGGAAGTGCTGCAGAATTTTTAAGATTTTTGACAAAAATAGTGATATTTGACATCTCTCAGACCCTTTGCAAATGACTAGCTTAAGATAGTTCACAGTTTAACACTAATCTTACTGCATTCCTTTTGTTAATGTTATCATTTATGAAGTTGATTAAAAAAAATTTTTTTTGAGATGGTGTCTTGCTCTGTCACCCAGGCTGGAGTACAGTGGTGTGATCATGGCTCACTGTAGCCTAGACCTACTGGACTCAAGCAATCCTTCCACCTCAGCCTCCCAAGTAGGTGGGACCACAGGTACAAGCCACCATGCCAATCTAATTTTTAAAAAAATGTAGAGATGGTGTCTCACTATGTTGCTTAGGCTGGTCTTGAACTCCTAGGCTCAAGCAATCCTCCCACTTTGGATTCCCAAAGTGTTGGGGTTATAGGTGTGAGCCAATGCACCCAGCCTGAAGTTGATTTTTTGGTGGTTGCGTGGTATGGCAAGTACTGGGCAAAAATTAATATGGAATAATAAGTGAGGATAGCATTGTCCAGTATTATTCCAAAGTTTGAAAAGTTACACAGTATCCAGCAGGTGCATATATTCCATTAGTAACCAGTTAAGAATGAAATAAAAACTTTTTTTTTTCAATTTGTGTGTATTTTTTTTTTCAAACAGCTACTAAGTTGTTAGGCCATAAATACGTATTGAATTGTTTGATTGTGTCGTCTGTGATGTCTTTCAGCAGTGTTTTGTAGTTTTTCTTGTACAAAACACTGCTAAAAAGAAATCATAGATGATACAAACAAATGGAAATACATCCCATGCTCATGGATGGGTAGAATAAATATTGTGAAAATAACCCATACTGCCAAAAGCAATCTACAAATTCAAAGCAATCCCCATCAGAATACTACCATCATTCTTCACAGAATTAGAAAAAACAATTCCAAAATTCATATGGAACCAAAAAAGAGCCTGCATAGCCAAAGCAAGACTAAGCAAAAAGAACAAATCTGGAGGCATCACACTACCTGATTTCAAACTACACTATAAGGCCATAGTCACCAAAATAGCACGGTACTGGTATACAAATAGGCACATAGACTAATGGAACAGAATAGAGAACCGGGAAGTAAACCCAAATACTTACAGCAAACTGCTCTTCAACAAAGCAAACAAAAACATACAATAGAGAAATGACACCCTTTTCAGCAAATGGTGCTGGGATAATTGGCTAGCCACATGCAGGAGAATGAAACTGGATCCTCATCTCTCACCTCATACAAAAATCAACTCAAGATGGATTAAGGGCTTAAATCTGTGACCTGAAACTATAAAAATTCTAGAAGATAACTTTGGAAAAACCCTTCTAGACATTGGCTTAGGCAAAGATTTCATGACCAAGAACCCACAAGCAAATACAATGAAAACAAAGATAAATAGCTGGAACCTAATTAAACTAAAGAGCTTTTACACAGCAAAAGGAACAGTCAACAGAGTAAACAGACACACAGAGTGGAGAAACCTTCACAATCTATACCTCTAACAAAGGACTAATATCCAGAATCTACAACGAACTCAAACAAATCAGTAAGAAAAAACCAAACAATCCCATCAAAAAGTGGGCTAAGGACATGAACAGACAATTATCAAAAGATGTACAAATGTTCAAAAACAAATGAAAAAATGCTCAACATCACTAATGATCAGGGAAATGCAAATCAAAACCACAGTGTGATACCACCTTAATCCTGCAAGAATGGCCATAATAATAATAAAAAAAATCAGAAAACAGTAGATGTTGGTGTGGATGTAGTGAACAGGGAACACTTTTACACTGCTGGTGGGAGTGTAAACTAGTACAGCCACTGTAGAAAACAGTGTGGAGATTTCTTAAAGAACTAAAAGTAGGACTACTTTTTGATCCAGCAGTCCCACTACTGGGTATCTACACAGAGAAAAAGAAGTCATTATTCGAAAAAGATACTTGCACACGCATGTTTATAGCAGCACAATTCACAATTGCAAAATCATGGAACAAACCCAAATGCCCATCAATCAATAAGTGGATAAAGAAACTGTGATATATACGTAGGATGGAATACTACGCAGCCATAAAAAGGAATGAATTAACAGCATTTGCAGTGACCTGGATGAGGTTAGAGTCTATTATTCTAAGTGATGTAACTCAGGAATGGAAAGCCAAACATCATATGTTCTCACTGATATGTGTGAGCTAAGCTGTGAGGACGCAAAGGCATAAGAATGATAATATGGACTTTGTGACTTGGCGGGAAGAGTGAGAGGAGGGTGAGAGATAAAAGACTACAAATATGGTACAGTGTATACATGGGAGATGGGTGCACCAACATCTCACAAATCATCACCAAAGAACTTATGTAACCAAATACCACCTGTACCCCAATAACTTATGGAAAAATAAAAATTTAAAGGAATAAATAAATAAATTGTTTGAGCCTAACTACTTAATAAATTGAACTGCTCGGTATTTATTTTGACCTAGGGTGCAATTAAAAAATGACTAAGACACTAAGGATTCCGTGAATTGAAAACGACTGGGAACAGCTGATTTACATCCTTATCCATCTGAACTCTTTTAGCTGCAAATGAAAGACACCAAATGGACAACGCTTAAGCAAAAACAGGGAATTATTGGCTTGTATATCTGGGATGTCTAGAGTTGCAGATGGCATCAATCTTGGCTGGATTTAGGTGCTCATATGAGGTCACTGAGGCTCCATCTGTCTTTCCAGCTTTAGGACAGGCTCACCACTTTTGGGAGAGAGAGCCTTAGGCCAATTTTCTCCAGACTCACATCCTTTCAATTTAGCAATCCCAGGAGAAAGGATCATCTTTCCCAAGAGCTTGTGCATAAAAGCTCTGTGGGGAAGACTTTGGTTGACCTAGCCTTGGTCACTTTCCTAACTCTGATTTGTGGTTATGGAGATTTATAACGGTCAACTCTGGGTCACATATCCATCCCTGTGCTCAGGTCAGTGTCCCAACTAAATCACACAGATTAGGTAGGTTCTCCCCAGAAAGGGGAGAATGGGAGAAGGGGTATAGGACCAAAAACAGTGCATCTCTCATTTTACAGATGAGAGAACAGACTGGTAGTATGGTAACTTAATAGTTAAGCAGGAAGGCTTTGGAGTCCCACCCATCTGGGTTCACGTTCTTGGTCAAATTAATGACATCTTGTCTTTTAAGACTTTAGAGTCCTCATCTGTAAAATGGGTGTAACGGAAGGTAAAGACCAAGAAACAGAAAACAACAATTATAGTCCCTGCCTTATAGGATCAGTGGTTCAAGTAAGGACTGAATGTGTTAATAGACATAAAGTGTCTAGCACAGGTCTGGCAATAGGAAGCCCTCAGTAAATGAAGCCATTGTAATTACTAATCAGGAAACTTTAAAGTTTATATATCCAGTAAGTGACCCAGGCTTCTGACTCCTGAGGATTTCCTTCTAAGCAGGGAGGCAGGGAGAGAGTACACAACAGTGATCTTCCTTTCTTGTCTGTTGCAGAGTGAAGCAACATGGATGCAGTCAGCCAAGTCCCTATGGAAGTCGTGCTTCCCAAGCACATCCTGGATATCTGGGTTATTGTCCTCATCATCCTGGCCACCATTGTCATCATGACCTCGTTGTTGCTGTGCCCAGCCACTGCAGTCATCATCTATCGCATGCGGACTCATCCAATCCTCAGTGGGGCTGTTTGAGAGCCTCCCAAGAGGGCCGGGTGAGGGATGATGACAGGCATCCTGTCCCCAGCCTTTTCCTGTCTTCAGAAAAGCAGCAGGAGGGACTTTGGGACGTGGACCTGAGTTCTGGTTTTGATTCTGCCATGAGCCAGCTGTGTGAATTTGTTCAAGGGACCTAACTCTCTGAGTTCCAGGTTCCTTATCTTTCAAATGGGGATGGTGATCCCTGCCCTTCCTACCTCATAGGGGTGTGAGAACCACCTGCCTTAGTGGATGTGAAAGCTGTCTGTGAGCAGTAAAGCTGCCACAGATATAAAGGTGTTATGCTGAGTGCTGAGAAGCTTTGAAGAACCAGAGAACCTGATTGCTGATGATGGCATTAAAGGTGGTGAGGGAGATACTGGGGGCAGAGCAGACTTTGCCAGTGCCCCTCAGGTCAAACCAAGCCAAGAGCACCCTGTCCCCATTCCAAGGGGCCAGCAGCACTATGGCTCAAAGTTATTTTCTTTAAGGTGCCATTCCTTCATGTTCCTTCATGTTTTCTCAGTTTGGAAGGTGATGGGTAGAGCTTTCCAGAACCTCCTCTATTCCAGAATCTCTGCCCTTGTGTAATCTGAAGGAAGGCTGTGCCATCTTTGGGCACTGCCAAGGGAGTTGGGGTGATGGGCTTCTTTCTGCACTGGAGTCTCACACCTGTTAGTGTTGACACTCAAGCAGTGTTGGAAAATGCAGAGTGACTGAGTTCCCTGCCCAGCTTTCGGGATCTCTGGCCCCCATCCCTTTGTGTGTGTGTGTGTGTCCCTCTGCCCAGCTCCTGCTGTAATTAGCTCCACGTGTGCCCCCTTCACTCCCTCGCGCCAGCCCTGCAGCCAGCCTACAGCAATTATATTTTAAGAGGTGTTCCCAGGCTTTTGGGACCTACTGAAACAATGATGGTTATTTTAGATGTGATGATTTATATCTATGCAGAGCTGTTTCTGGACCACTCAAGCTCTTCAATACCACAATCAGGAGCATCTTGGGATTTATTAAATTATGTAAGAAGATAGTACAGATATCGGGATATTATTGTGTGAAAATGCTGCTTTTACTTTGATGTGATCTCATTGGTGTACACACCGATTTCCAATAAAGTGCTAGAATGTGCATGTCTGAGGTCTTTCTTTAAAGAGCAATTGTTAAACTCAGAACTCAAGTAAAAGCCTTACACTGAAGGTATGGGCCTTCGAGACAGTTTGAATATAGTAACAGAAAAGGGAAGAGGAGAATCAAATTTACTTCCAGGGCTCTAGCTTCAGCACATGGGTGCAGTTGTGCAGGTTACACATAGATAGTCCAGAGGGGAAGAACAGATTTTGAATATCACATTCAAAGAATGACAAAGAAGACCATGAATTTAGTATTGGACGTGTTGCATTTGAGGTGCTTGTGATATTCAGGTGGACACATTCAGGATGCAGTTGGAGATCTGAGTCTATTCTTGGGAAAGATGTTATGTCTGGTATTAGGGTACGGGGGATTAACCCCTATGGTAGATAATGCTGTACAAGCAGATAGGATCAGAATATACAGACTTAGAAGAGTGAGATGCTAAATGCAGAACTTGGCAGACACTAAATAGGAGGGGAAGGAGAATAGAAGGGGAAAAAAGAGAGATTGGATAGGTCCTATAATATGAGGTGTTTCAACAGAGGTGGAATAATACACACACACACACACACACACACACACATATATATATATATGTTTGTTTGCTTTTCAGTAGAGATAGGGTTTCACCATATTGGCCAGGCTGTTCTTGAACTCCTGACCTCAAGTGATCCACCTACCTCCACCTCCCAAAGTGCTGGGATTACAGGTATGAGGCACCACACCTGGCCCTAATAGTATTTTGTAGGTTAAGAAATGAGTAGGAGGTTAGGAAGTTGAGACAGTGAGAACAGAAACCTTTCCAGGAGTAGCACTGTAATACAGAGGTAAGAGTTACAGGAGGGCGTCAGGGGAAAATGGTGAAGGGGGTTTCTGTCTTAGTGCATTTGGGTGGCTCTAACAAAATACTTGAGACTGGTAATTCAGAAACAACAGAAATTTACTGCTCACAGTTCTAGAGACACAGAGGTTCAAGGCACATGCTGATTTTGTGTCTGGTGAGAGCCTGTCCCTCATAGATGGTACTTTTTTTTTTGAGACAGAGTTTTGCTCTTGTTGCCCAGGCTGCAGTGCAATGGTGCAATCTCGGCTCACCACAACCTCTGCCTCCTGGGTTCAAGCGATTCTCCTATCTCAGCCTCCGAAGTAGCTGGGATTACTGGCATGTGCCACCATGCCTGGCTAATTTTGTATTTTTAGTAGAGATGGGGTTTCTCCATGTTGGTCAGGCTGGTCTCGATCTCTCAACCTCAGGTGGTCCGCCCGCCTCGGCCTCCCAAAGTGTTGGGATTACAGGCATGAGCCACCGTACCTGGCCTATAGATTGTACTTTCTATGTGTCCTAGTGGTGGAAGAGACAAACAAGCTCCCTCAGGCCTCTTTTACATGGAAACTAATCCCATTCATGAGAGCAGAGTCCTCATGACCTCATCACCTCCCAAAGGCTTCACCGCCTTGGTACCATCACCATGGGGGCTGGGTTTCAACATACAAATTTTGCAGGGACACAAACGTTCAGACCATAGCAAGGGGTTAGTTATATGTCATAAGATTCTGATTGGTTTGCTCAGCATCTCTTCCAACTGTTTTTCTGGCATGGCTTCCTGGATGGCAGAGCCTGGAAAGTAAAACAAAACAAATAAAACTACAGTGAAAGTAAAAACCTGTATTTCTGTAACTACACTTGATAGAGATTCAAACGTGATTTAAGCTTTGCTGTTCAGATGCAGGCATGCCATGTTTTAGTTTGGAATCCAGTTCAGCTGGGAGAGCCAGGACAGGGTGTGAGACAATCACAACACTGGTGTGAATCCCAAAGCTGCAGCACACTCTGGAGCCAAGCCGCTTTCTCATGCCTGGATCTCAGCTGAGATGGGACAGTCCTGCAGCCCACAGCCAAGGCCGTGGCTTTCTTGTTCCCTAGCTTCCCACTTGTTACAGAAGTAGTAGCTCCCCAAGATGGCTGGTTTTGCAGTGTTGATCTGGAAGGAATTCTAGTAACCCCTGCCCTCTGTGCTCCCCCAGTCCTTTTAATGATTTTAAGCACATAATTCCCTATATTAAAGCATATTTAGGCTGGGCGTGGTGGCTCACATCTGTAATCCCAGCGCTTTGGGAGGCCGAGAGGTCAGGAGTTCGAGACCAGCCTCGGCAACATGGTGAAACCCCCTCTCTACTAAAAATACAAAAATTAACCGGGTGTGATGGTGTGCGCCTATAATCCCAGTTACTCAGGAGGCTGAGGCCGGAGAATCACTTGTTCCCCGGAGGCGGAGGTTGCAGTGAGCTGAGATCGTGCCACTGCACTCCAGCCTGGGCGACAGTGAGACTCCATCTAAAAAAAATAAATAAAGCATGTTTAATTTCCATTTGCTAGAGTATACCTTAATTGATCCAGATGGAAGAAAAATCTATTAATTCCTATCAATTAGTATCCTAGCAATTCCACTTCTAAGTCCATCATGTGATCCAGCATTATGGGGGAAAAACTCTGTTAATGGGAGGCAGATGGTCTTCTAGAAATAGAGATGGTAATGAATTGGTGGCCTCAACGAGAGCTCAGAGAGGTCTATTGGTGGCGATAGAATGAGAACTTTGCTTATAGTATTGCTGTAATAATACTAAAAGAATAATGAGCATTCTAGGAGGCCAGCATGGGCGGATCACTTGAGGTCAGGAGTTCGAGATCAGCCTGGTCAACATGATGAAACACTGTCTCTACTAAAAAAAAAAAAAAAAAAGAATAGTGAGATAGTTTAGTTACAAAATGTATAGTGTTTTTTGAAAAGAGAATGAAAATACAAATTCCGAATCCAAACTTGTTGGCCTCTTGGAAAAATAAGGGGTCTGATAACATATATCAGAGTTTAAAAATTGTATCCATTGAAATTAGTGCTTAAATTATTTAGTTGTGTGAGATGATTTATATTTAAAAATGTAAAGAATATATATGTGCTTATAGGTAAGAACAATACATGAACCTATTTTCCATCAGCTCCCAATACATGTCAGTTCATGTTTCCACATTTAATACCTACTGAAGGTAGCAGAAGTAACATTTTGGAAGAAAAGGATGTTTGGTAAATCAGAACAGTATTCCTGTAATAACTAAAGATCATTAATAACATTTCTTCCAAACTTCCCCCTTCCCAATTCCGACTCCAGAAATAATCAACTTGTTTGATAATTACTAGAAGAAAAAAAGAGAAACAATTATAGTATTTATACAGACATAAAGGAATGGTCTGGTAAATACTGTACAAACAATGAAATAAAACATGGCAACTAAGCACTGTCTATTGGTAGTCAACAAAAAGCAAAATACAAAATTGCACCTTCTCAGCAACACCTCCAGAATTTTCGTATTATGGGCTAAGGGTGATAACTAGTTGAAAAATGCAACATGAACTGCTATAGTTTTTCATAGCTCTTTATGTAAGATGGAGAAAAGGTCAATGCCCATACAAAAGAATTTGAGGGTGCTGCGACTAGATATAATATTTAGAATACATATGCATCCACATCTAAACACGATGGGAAGGAGCATAGAGGAGATTATGAGAACTTTGTGAGGGATACACATATTGTCTCGGAGTAATGGGTTGAATAGTGGCCCCGCCCAAAATTATGTCTACTTCCTAAATCCAGAACCTGTGAAAGTTACTTTGGAAAAAAAGGGGGTCTTTGTAGATGTCATTAAGTTAAGGATCTCCAGATGGGGAGGTGATCCTGGATTATCTGAGTGGGTTCTAATCCAGTGACAAGAGTCCTTACAAAACATACATGAAGGACTGACACACAGAGAAGAGGCAATATGACCGTGGAGACAGAGACTGAAGTGCCGTGGCCACAAATCAAGGCAAGTTTGTAGCCACCAGAAGATGGAAGAGGTAAGAAGTACATCATCCCCTGGCCTCCGGAGGAGTGTGGCCCTGCTAACACTCTGATTTTGGACTCCTGGCAACCAACTGCATGAGTATAAATTTCTGTTGTTTTAAGCCACCAAGTTTGTGATCATTTGCTACGGCAGCCACAGGAAACTAATACACAGGATAAGCTGATGGGGGAATAAGAGAGTTTTTTCATAATTGCTTGAATGGGTTAAGAATTCTAAAGAATAATTAGCTGGGTGAGGTGGTGGGTGCGGTGGTGGGTGCTTGTAATCCCAGCTACTCGGGAGGCTGAGAGGCAGCAGAATCACTTGAACCCAAGAGGCAGAGGTTGCAGTGAGCCAAGATGGCGCCACTGCACTCTAGCCTGGGCGACAGAGGGCGACTCTGCCACACACAAAAAAAGTTATTCTAAAGAATAAACATTATTGGGTAAGGGGAGATGACATGATAGCCATTAGAAAGGAGTCGGGGGAGTGAGGGAAAAAAGTGAAAAACAGACACCAGGAAGGTGAATAACCAGAATGTGAGCTAAGGAGATGGAATAGGGAGGACATCATACCCAAGCAGAGTACGGACTGAGGAGAAAAATAAATGATATGCCTAAATATGTTTAATTTCAGGGAGCTACTTTGTCTTCTCATATTTTATTCAGATTGCTTTGTGTGTGTGTGTGTGTGTGTGTGATGAAGTACATATTTTAAGTAAATATCTTACCTCAGAAACAACCTCTCAGAGAAAGTTTTTGGAGAAAATGCAATGTTTTAGTAATATTCTCTTCAGAAACATTAAGTTAGGATGTTATGGTGATGGAGAAACCTCAATAAAAACCAGTAGCTTAAGTATGGAGACACACATAACTCAGTCATCACATTGGGAAGAAAATGAGATACTGGAAAAGAAGAAAAAGTCACCCAGAAAAGAGCCCTAGAAAACTAAGAGTCAGAGTTTTTCACTGATGCTTATCAAAGCTTAGCTGTATGAAATAAGGGAGGAATGCATCCTTTTAACTTTAGTCGAGCTTTTTAAATTCTGAAAATGGGACTCTCACTTAGAGTGCTGCAGCACAAAGAAAGCAATTGTTTGGAGAAAATAGGCTATGTCTGAAA